CAACCCCGGGCGTGGCAGATCAACGTGACTTAAGGATATACAATTCTTCTAACTACTGCTATCAAATCATGTAAGTAATTTTTTATTATTATTTCAGTGTTGTAATGGGGTTATTTTTACTTGGTTTGATTTGGCTATGTTCGTGTAATTAGTGTTATTATGATTGATGTTGCTATTGAACGTTATTTCTTTATTCAGTTGAGTTTATCAGTTTCGTTCCTTTCTAATTGCCACCAACGTCTTTACAATCCTAATTCCTGTGTTCCCACTCCGTATTATGAGCTATAGTCCTTAATCTTTTTACAGACGTGAAGTGAGAGGTGTGCTGTTTTTATCACGGACTGAGGCAGATCTAACGTGACCCAAGGATACAACTCGACAGGGCTTCATCTGTTGCTTTTCTTTAGTTAATATGATGGACCTCGATGTTCTTCTATCGTGGAAGCCACATATCCTCAACATAACTAAAGCTGCCTCCTGGAAGCTGGGAATGCTGTACAGATGCCGTAATTACTTCACGCCTGAGCTGTTATTTCAGGTATATAAAGATTTAATTCATCGTCAGTTGGAGTACTACTCCTTTCTCGGGTGGCTCTTCAACTGTTGGATAGGATGGAATCGAAGGCATTTATTTTACCTGACTTCTTTTAGTTAATCTTTCTTCACCACAATGTTGCTTCACTCTTTTACAGGTACTTCAATGGGCAAAGTTCGGTGGATTTGGTATCTTGTGTACCGCCTGCAGGGCCGTGGGCTCGTAATACAGTTTCTGCCCACCGTTTGTGTGAGGATGTGGGTCACACTATACTAACCCGTTATAGTACCTCCTTCTTTCCTCGCACTGTTGAATGCTCTGCCTTCTGTGTTTCCCTACAATGTCTCCTTACACAAGATGGTTTGTAAGTGGCGTAGATTAAATGACGTTGTTCGTGTATATAATGGTTTGTAACTCCTTATGCTAGATCTTGTTTATCAGTTTAATCCCGGATCTGTTTTATCATTTCAGATCCTCCCGGGCTCTACCTGGAGTGTCTATTGATCCTGTTCAAGCAGATAGGTGTAGTCCGGCTCACAGTGAACTTGGGCTAATGCAGTTTTCATCCAGAACACAAAATGACCTTGGCCTTGTGGTCGACCAATGAAGAGCTCGGTGTAGGTCGGAAAGGTTCTGTTTACACATCTTTGTAATTTCTTTTGCTCGGTTGTAAAATAAACTAAAACTAAAAAAAAATAGGCCTACCCTATTTCTTACCCCTTGTCTATTGGGTTTCAACCTAAGGATAACTTAAATGTTTGTTATATTTGTAAGTTTCGTGTAGTCGGCTATTGAACAAAATTATATTCTCAAGCTTGGCAATATGTTAGGAAAGTGATTATCTTGACAACCTTTTATTAGTAATCAAAGCGGCAGATGACGTATTTAAGAGGTACACCTATACAAGTAAACGGTTCCCAGCGCATAACTTTCTCGAAGATGTCTAAAGTTTCTTAAAATCCACACCACACCCCACCATCCACACCACACCCCACCATCCACACCACTAGACCATGTAAGTATTTAGTAAACTTTATTCTCGAATGGGCTTTGTAACCAAGTGTATGAACTAAGCACCGGGTCAGAAATTGAGCAATGATTTATTATTGAATGGATAAAAGCTATAGAAGTTAATATACCCAAATCCCTTGATGTACGTTGGGTAAAGGTCGAACAGTACTTTACCAGGTGTAACCCTACATAGTGATAGATCGGTATTAACACAGGTGGGAGGTGGTTTTAATAAGGGAATATTTTATCATTGTTATGCAGATGAAACAGTTTGTAGAAGACTATTGACAACTCCTCCAGGCTTCCTCAACTAGACGCATCAAGAGAAGGACTCCGGTTGATGAAAAACTGTAAAACCTTTATTGATAGTTGAAGAGCAATGAAAGCCTTGAAAACAAATCGTTACTCTCATCTTGTTAATATCTATAAACGACAGTCATTGACGCAAGAAATGTCCTGTAGTTTATATGGAGTCCTTGAAATGGCTGACAAATTGGCCCAATAACCTGCGAAAGTGTTAGCAATGTGAATATTAGAACGATAAAGAAGGGAATGAAAAGAGGAATTGGAAAAAACAAGAAGTGTTTGCCATATACAGGGAGAGTTTTCAGCATTTGACTCATACATCTTCTACTACTACACTAAATACGTATACATAGGACATTAATACATACATGTATATAAATGTGTATTTTATTGCCTGAATAAAATCTATACACATGCGTACTAAGCTGAGACACGTAGGACGAACCGAAGCTTTGCTGGTATGCTATTGGTTAAAGGTGTGTAACGTCATTTGTGGTGACACTTTTGAAGGTGGTTATTGGTTGATAAGTTATGACGTTATAACTTCTAATCGAGAGGATGCTATTGGTTAAAGAGGTCATAGCGTCATGTCGTGAGAGAATACTATTGGTCCCATACAAAATGACGCCATATATTTTTATTATAATCAAAGAATGCTATTGGTCCCATAAGATATGACATCACCTCTTGTTATTGTCATGTGAGAAAGCTATTGGTTAAACATGAGATGACGTCAGATCTAATGACACCTGATTGGTTGCCTACGGTCTATGGCACACGAAATACAATATTGGAACACTCACAAACACACAAACACGGATAGAAATTTACACAAACAAAAATAATTGACAAAACAAAAAACATTGGAAAGATTTTATGCCCAAATAGATATGATAAAAGAAAGACATTAAACCTTGGAGAGCGATGGTTTAACCCTTTGAGGACGATGATTTAACCCTTTGAGGACGGTGGTTTAACCCTCCCTCCCTCCTTACTCCTCAACTACCCCAATTCGAGCGTTTAAACCATAGCTGCTAATCGCCTCGTTACAGTCGACGTTATACCACCAATCACAGACGAAATATTCTTGGTTAAATAAGGTTCCGTTTGGGCAGAGAAAAGAGCCCATTTTGTTTCCATTTAAGCAGATGTGGAATACCTGAGGAAAGGGGAGTTAATTAGTTAAACATACCTGTTCACACACCTGTACTAATGAGGGTTAATAAGCTACACACCTGTACTGAGGGTTAATTACCTGCATACCTGTTCACACACCTGTACTAATGAGGGTTAATAAGCTACATACCTGTACTGAGGGTTAATTACCTGCATACCTGTTCACACACCTGTACTAATGAGGGTTAATTACCTACACACCTGCACTAATGAGGGTTAATTACCTACACACCTGCACTAATGAGGGTTAATTACCTACACACCTGCACTAATGAGAGTTAATTACCTACACACCTGCACTAATGAGGGTTAATTACCTACACACCTGCACTAATGAGAGGCAGGTAGACAAGCTAAATATATAATAAGACAAAAAAAATCTAAACTAAGGAAAAAATTAAATAAACTACAAACAAGAATCATTAAAGAAAGCAAACTATGATCAGTATATAAACAAGATAGATAAAATAATTGAGTAAACAGATAAATATTACAATTACTACTACGACTACTACGACTACTACTACTACTACTACTACTGCTACTACTACTATCAATACTACTTTTTTTTTTCTACGTGGCCTCCAGCCTCCCCCAATAGCCACACCTTCGCCACCATTCTACTACTACTACTACTATTGCTACTACTACTACTACTATTGCTACTACTACTACTACTACTATTGCTACTACTGCTACTACTACTACTACTACAATGCCCTTTACTGACCTGACACTGGGCATCAGGGTCAGCAAAATATCCCCCGTAAAGTTGGGCATCACAAGAGAAGGAAGTCTGGGGTATCGCGGCATATTGTGGGTAATCTTCTTGGGCATTAATGCTTGACGTCTGGAATAGTTAAAACGTGGTATTAATTGTGTGTGGGTGGGTGTGTGGGTGTTGTGGGTGGGTGTGGATATGTGTGGGTGGGTGGGTGTGGATGTGTGTGGGTGTGGGTGTTTTCTCTCTTTCTCTCTCTCTCTCTCTCTCTCTTTCTCTCTCTCTCACTTACCAGGGCATTTAACTGCTTCGGTTCGCCTGATGATCGCAGCGATGACTTCAATGGGGCAATTTGATCATCGTCGTCATAATCAAGGTCATTATCCGCTAGTTCATCAACAGAGGCGCGGTCAAAGGTCAATGGGATATCAGTAAATGGGGTCAGGTCATCCTTTTGTTGATTGGTGTGGCTGGAATCACTCGATTGGGTCAAGTCACTGGATTGGGATTCGAAATTTCGGTTCGTGGTGGTAGTTTGGTAGTCAATAGATTGGCTTGATTGGCTAGAACCACTTAATTGGGAGTCGAATCGTTGTTGGTTTAAGTCATCTGATTGGGAGTCGAATCGTTGGTTAGTATCCGTGGATTGGTATTGATCAGCTGCTGGGACTCCGAATCCTTGGGTCAGATCACTAGCTGGGAGGTCAAATCCTTGGCCCAGGTCAGGTTGGCTGTCAAATCCTTGGCTCAGGTCAGATTGGCTGTTAAATCCTTGGCCCAGGTCAGATTGGCCGTCAAATCCTTGACCTAGGTCAGATTGGCTGTCAAATCCTTGACCTAGGTCAGATTGGCCGTCAAATCCTTGGCTCAGGTCAGATTGGCTGTCAAATCCTTGACCTAGGTCAGATTGGCTGTCAAATCCTTGGCCCAGGTCAGATTGGCTGTCAAATCCTTGGCTCAGGTCAGATTGGCTGTTAAATCCTTGACCTAGGTCAGATTGGCCGTCAAATCCTTGGCTCAGGTCAGATTGGCTGTCAAATCCTTGGCCCAGGTCAGATTGGCTGTCAAATCCTTGGCCTAAGTCAGATTGGCTGTCAAATCCTTGGCTCAGGTCAGATTGGCTGTCAAATCCTTGGCTCAGGTCAGATTGGCTGTCAAATCCTTGGCCCAGGTCAGATTGGCTGTCAAATTCTTGGCCCAGGTCAGATTGGCTGTCAAATTCTTGGCCCAGGTCAGATTGGGCCGAATCAGCTGGGGGTAGGTCAAGGAAGCTGCTCAGGTCAGACGCCACAGCCGAGGCGACCCGTCCCTGTGGAGAGGTCAAGAAAGGTCAAGTTAGGTCAGAGAGTAACATACATACAGGAAAACCTCTAATTAGCGGACTATAAAGAGGAAAGTCCCTTATATCGAGGTGACCATTAGGTTAGGTTAGGTTAGGGGCGGTTAGGTTAGGTGAAATATAATGAATAAATGATGAAATAAAATGAAGAATGATGAGTCAGTTAGCACTTTAATGCCCCAATGTTTACTTGTACCTGATTGGCTGAATGATTATCGTGGGCGTGGTCTCCTCTCTGGTCTCCATGGGCGTGGTCTCCTTCTTGTTCTTTGTGGGCGTGATCTCCTTCTTGTTCTTCGTGGATCGTGGGCGTGGTCTCTCGTCTCCATGGGCGTGGTTCTGGGCGTGATCTCCCTGTTCTTCGTGGACCTCCGTGGGCGTGGTCTCCTCCCTGTTCTTCGTGGGGTCTCCTCCTGGGCGTGGTCTCCTCCCTGGTCTCGTAAGGCGTGGTCTCCTCCCTGGTTTCCGTGGGCGTGGTCTCCTCCTGGTCTCCGTGGGCGTGGTCTCCTCCCTGATCTCCATGGGCGTGGTCCCCGTGGGCGTGGTCTCCATGGGCGTGTTCTCCGTGGGCGTGGTCTCCATGGGCGTGTTCTCCGTGGGCGTGGTCTCCATGGTGATGTTCTAGGCCATCTAGGAGACTACCATGAACCTGGAGAACAAGAGTGTTATTATCTCTCTCTCTCTCTCTCTCTCTAACTCTCTCTCTCTCTCTCTCTAACTCTCTCTCTCTCTCTCTAACTCTCTCTCTCTCTCTCTCTCTAACTCTCTCTCTCTCTCTCTCTCTCTCCCTAACTCTCTCTCTCTCTCTGTCTCTAACTCTCTCTCTCTCTCTAACTCTCTCTCTGTCTCTCTATTCATAAACGACCAAAAACACGAGATAGATAGATAGAGAAAAGAAGATAAACAAGAGAGAGAGAGAAGAAAGAGAAGAGATAGAGTAGAACAGAGAGAGAGAGAGAGAGAGAGAGAGAGAAGAGAGAGAGAGAGAAGAAAGAGACTTACCTCTGCAAACACAACAAGTAAACACAACAGAACGATCCTCATGTTTATTTGTTGTTGTTGTTGTTGTTGTGACCACTTGAGGAAACTGTTGAAAAAAAATAAATTCGATTAAATATCTAATTATCAGGTCTGTGTGTGTCTGTGTATGTGAGACCTTTACACACACACACACACACACACACACACACACACACCTCTCCCCATTTCCCTTCACCCCCCTTCCCCCCTCCCCACCTCCCCTTCCCCCTACCCTCCCCACCCCTCCCCACCCACCCAAACCACACAGCCTCGTGTCGTCATCGTGGTGGTGGCGAGGAAGCAAGAATATTGGAACATCTTTCTCATTATCTTAACGCAACACTAAATATTACTTAAAACACGTAAACATTCTCTTTCTCTCTCTCTAGCTGTGTCTGTCTGTCTCTCTCTCATATACTGTCTGTCTGTCTGTCTCTCATATACTGTCTGTCTGTCTGTCTGTCTGTCTGTCTGTCTGTCTTCTCTCACATACTGTCTGTTTTCTCCTCTCACATACCTGTCTGTCTGTCGTCTGTTTGTCGTCTCTCTCACATACGTCTGTCTGTCTGTTGTCTGTCTCTCCATACTGTCTGTCTGTCTGTCTGTCTGTGTCTCCCCTACTGTCTGTCTGTCTGTTTGTCTGTCTCTCACATACTGTGTCTGTCTGTCTGTTTGTCTGTCTGTCTGTCTCTCTCATATACTGTCTGTCTGTCTGTCTTTCTCATATACTGTCTGTCTGTCATGTTAACACTTATGTTGCAATAGGTTTTAAATTCCATTGCATTACCTAAAGATTTACCTAATGCTAACACTAACTCCTAACACTAACCTAACTTAACAACCTAACACTAACCTAACTAACACTAACTAACAACCTAATCTAACACTAACCTAACCTCACAACCCCAGTGTTCAAATCACCTCGTTGTGTTGCCAAATCCACCACCAAGCAGGGTTACAAATGTTACCATCATCACCCACAACAATTAGCAAGCAGTGTTGTCAATCCTTCCACTAATTACAACACTGTTTGCTCCTGAGTAGGTGTTTGCTTTTATTGTTTGCATTTGTTTGTAGTAGACGTGTTTACTTATTTGTTTATGGCAAGTGTGTATATTTTCATCAATGTAATCAATGAGAATCTTTAACTGTTTGCCTTGTCTACACGAGCTACTGCTAATGTCACTTAGTGTTGTTTGCTATTGTTTACGTCAAGTACCAGGGAAGATATTGAAAGCATAATGTGTTATCTAATGGTAGACCCTGCTGCCATATGTGACCAAGTCCCAGGTTGATGATCTGACTTTCTGCCTCAGTTACACACAATTACAGGGTCTCAATTATTTCTCTTACTATTGACAACACAACATACATATATTGTTTCTCACTGTT